ATAACTCGAAAACCAAATTATCAAATCTTATTGATTAGTATAAGTATTTCAACCTATTTTTCACAAAAAGAGGATATGGCAGACAGAAGAAGAGATGAGCTGTAAAAGAATACGCAGGGCATGTGAAGATTAGCAAATTCGGGATTTATTTAAGCTGTTGATATGCACATATACACATACATATATAAAGATACATGCATATTGACATAGATGTATCTATACAGAAGAGTGGGATGAAGCAATGAAAGCATCATTTAAAGTTTCAGCGTTTGATGACAAAAAATTCATGAATTTCGAAGGAATCTTGGATTTTTCATTTTTAAAACAAGAATTTAGGAATCTCGTGAAAAATAATACATCAGGTGTAGTTGGTTTGGATTTTATGGACAAATTCAAAATTAAAAGTTAATTTGATTCAATTTTTTTTAACCATTAACCTAGCTGCTGAGGTTTCTCAGACTCTTAAAAACCAACAATACATCCTCAGTACAAATTACGCTTGAATGGTTAGATGTCATCAGTAAAACAAGGACAAAAAACACTTTTTTTGAAATTTAGGTAAATCCAAGAGATTGGATGTTTCTTAGAGACAACGGTAACAAAAAAAACTGAAGAGTATAGTGCATCAATCCGTTTTCAAGCTCTTATGAAGTAAATTTTAAAAAATTCCAAGGAAGCAAAGGTTCGTTCTGCTATTTCATAATATTCTCTGACAGAATGTCAGTTTGAATATTTCAATTTCGGTATGACTATATGTTTCTACCTCAAGACCTAGTTTTCCTCCCAAAAGTAATCTATAGAACATTTTGAATTCCGGAACATGACACAAAGGTCAGAGTGCATCTTTAATTTATTATCGAAAAGTAAACTTGGAACGAGCAAACAATAATGAAAAGATAACAGATCCAAGTAATAAAATGATGTGAGCTGTCAAATCTTTTCGATAGACGCAAACTGTTTGATTTTTAAACCACAATTATTTGAGATGCTTTCAAAAAATTAGGTGTCTAGTTTTCAAATAAAAAAAGGTTTTCAGTTTGTTCGGATAAAAATGATAACACGAGACTCTGAAATCGGATCAAAAGTAACCTGGAAAAATAGAACGGACGAAAAAAGAACAAAACAAAAACAATGTTTGAATTCGAGGTGATAATTTGTGTGTGTTGATCTATCTTTGATGTACGCAACCAAACGGTCAGCTGAGAGACAATTGGATAGACAGATGGGACGATAGGTAGGAGGACCATTGTAATAAAGAGAAGGAGGGGGAGTGGACAATGGATCAGACAGTTGACTGATCGAAAAACACTTTATTATTTTGTGTCAATCAAATGCTTTAGTTCCGAATACTCTTAACTAGATCTCTGGTCGTTTTGAACTATTTTCCGAACACCATATTTTTTCTCAGTGGTCAGAAAAACCAAAGCACTATGAATTTTGAGGGATTCAAAAGCTTGTGTAGTATATTTTTGTGAACTAGAAACTCTGAAAATCGATTACCCAGAAAACTCCTTATCCAGAACAAAATTCAAGCTTCAGGCGTTGGGAATATTTCAGATAAGTTTTTCACAACTTACTTGATGATCTTGAAAAGCCAGAATAAAATTTCGATCGATTTCTTCGAACATTCCTAGGTTCAAAGAAAGTAGGTAGTTTCAAAATTTTGCTGTTCATATTTCACTTCTTTTTTTTGTTATTTTTTCTCTCAAAAATAGATGAAAAAGTAAAGGACACACAGCCGTTCGGCTTAACTTTATGAGTTTCCGTAGCTTTTGAAAACACTAATACAGAAAAGAAGAAAAAGGAAAATGAAAGAAAATGGAAAGTTGCGATAAGAGAAAAAAATCCGCCATGCACTTTTACATGATTTTCCAGGAAAGGGCACCAACACTGTTCTTTTCTGTTCTGTTAGTTCAGATTCTGTGTGATGACGCACTGCGGACAATGTGCCGGACTTGAGATTAGAGCCTCTTGCTCTATCAGTCTTCTCCTTCTTCTCTTTTTTATTCTATTTCATATCTTGAGAGAATTATTGAAAAGAGATTAGTGGATCCTCCTTATCTTTGGCTCGACTATCCTAATCCGTTAATATTAGTTCAACATTCTTTATCTCATTGAAAACGGGAGGCAGAAGGGGCAAACTTCAAGATTTTTTCTCAAATCTGACATGTCATTGGGATGAATCAGAGCAGACTAGGTGCATGGTAAAATGGCTTCGAAGATCTAAAATGGAAGCCTGGTTTTTTAAAAATATTTTTAGAGATTCTGATTTTTTTCTGCACGTGCACAAAAAGTAAGGTATAATGGATATGACCTAAAAAATTGGAAATGGACTTCCATCCTATTTTTTCTGCTTCGCTAGGCTTTGTAAAGCTTATCAAGCTGTAAATGTGTTATTTCTTATTCTCAAAGTAAAAAGTACTTTTTCCAAAATTACGTTTCTAATCAAACTTCTTATCGAACTGTTTAGATTTTGCAAAGATCCTTCAATGACGTGAATCAATTTTCATGTAATGCAAACACTAGTTTCTAAAAAACCAGAAAGTTTTTAATCAGGAAATGTATGTAGAAAGTACGAAAAAAGCGGAAACTCGAGGCAACTATAATGTGCTGCACATGACATACTGCAGTACATATAATCTCGAACGAGAAAATGTGTTAAAATAGGAAGGAAGCGGGTGGCAAATCGAAATGGAAAGGGATGAAATAGATTGAGTTTTGTGATATATTGCTGAAAAATAGCAACACAGGAAGAACGTAAATCAGACAAAATGAAACGGAGATGTATAAAATATATTGGAGTGGTAAGTTAGGTGATATAGATGTATAACCAAAACTTGCTAATTTCCGGAGCACAGAAAGGCAAAAGTTTTGAGTTTTAGCCTATTCATGGGTGAGTGTTTTTTGAGAGTAAAACTCCAAAAAAAGAAGTGGCGAGCGGAACAGAAAACAATGAAATTACTTGCCCGGAATTCGATAATTATGGTTGTCTCTTTTGAACGAAAATAAAATGTCAAAGGATATCTGATATGCGACACTGCAGAAATAGCTTTAGAAATCGAATTTTGATTATAGACTGTTACGATTGGAAATGAATGTTCTGTTCTTGAAATTGGAGACAATTACTGGAGATTTGAAAAATTAGAATTTATTTCCGATTTATTCCTAATATGCAACATTATTGTCAAATATCCTTCGAGAGATCGACAATGCAAATACAGTAAGAAACTTACTTTATTCAAAAATTGAACTGAATGAACGCCGCCAGATCAAAATCCCTTATTTCCCAATCTGGGAGTATGTTTTCAAATTCATTCTATCAAAGCAGAACTAAAAGGTATAAGTTCTCGCTAGCGTTTCCGGTTTATCAAAAGTGAACGGAAAAAATATGCATTCACACTGAAATAAAGGAATAAGAAAATAAGAAGAAGCCGGATTTCGCGTGATTCTCTGTTTTATCGATACAAGAATAAGAAGAATACTTCGTTCGTCACATCCACCTCTGGATTAATCCGCCTCGATTCCGGCTCCGTAATCCCATTTTCCGGCAACTTTCAAAAAGTACAACAAGAAATGGAAGAGGAATATGTCCTATGATTTTTATACATTCTTGATATCAATTATAGAGCTGAATAACAACCGTTTCAACCGATGACCCAGTTGAAATTTAAACATTAAATAAGATCCACACCAGTTTTCAAGAGAAAAAGAAACTTGATGTTTTGCTGGGTACTGGGCAAGTAAGTTTAGTGCTTTTTGTAATGTGAAAGCTGAAGAAGAACTTGTTTGCAAGATGAAACTCAGTAAGTTTTAAGCCTTCTTGGCCACGAAAAAACCTTTTTTGAGTTTCAATGCCCGTAAGTCTGTAATAATTGCACCGTCTCAGCTCTGATTACTGTATTCACAAGTTATCTTAATCATTATTAAATAAAAAGAATTGACTTACCGATGGAAACTTATGTGACGCTTGACGTAAGGACATCTCTCGTAGAATATGTTGTAGGAACTGGGATAATGTCGATGATACACTCATTTTCCTCCGGTTTCCACTTTGGAAGATTAGATTTTCCGTGCTCTTTCCAGGAAACGAACTCTGTTAATACAGTGTAAAAGTAATGACTTGAGCCCTTTTCTATGTATGTAGATGCGTATGAGTGGTGCAAGATAAATGAGAAAAGAAGACAACAATTTGCTCTTGACACCAGTTTTGCATTATGTATGAGATATATGCACTTATTCTAATCAAAAAACGATGAGTTCAATCTCATTAGTGTTTCGGATTCTTTGAAGAATGTGACTTCTTGCAACTTTCCATGGTTCACTCGTTCCATTTTTTTTTCGAAGCGTCGAACCTTGACTTTGCAAGATAGATCATGTAAATTGACGACGCTCTCAAATCTGAAATTGTAATAAGAAAACTTGAGATCCACATTTGCATTAACTAGAACGAAGTTCATAGAAAAAAAAGAAAAGGATAATGAAATGGCAAAGGGTAAGACGGAACAAAGTCGAACTTTCAAGTAAATTGCCATAAAAACATTGAATGCATAGATTGAAGTACTGCAAAGCCTTCTCGAAAACCAAGTTTGAGAGAATCACAGTTTTGTCGCTGAAACTTTTTCTAAGAACATTTTAGAATTAGCATATCCAAACTTGCGATCCAAACCAAATATACTAGCAAAACTCTTGAAAAGCTTTATTCATATAACTTGAGGTTACATTTTGTACAAATACAAAACTGTATTCAGGATCTTGCAACATCTCTATGATTAATCTTTGAATTATTCTGTATGAGGTCAGTTAGGCGTTCTTTTCCAATATTTTTAAAATGAGTACTTCCAATACACATTTTTACACTCCAGAACCCTAATTGTAGAAAATCAGTCAACTATACTTTTCGAATTGCATTCTTATTATTAAAATCAAAACGCGATGATGTACCGAAACATGTTCTATCTAATCGCTTTTCCAGGAAGAAAACAAAAAGATTTAAATTAAAATGACCAGGATGGGTAACGATCCCCAGCTGACTACCAGTCATCAGTTGGCGCATGCTAACCACTACACCATCCGGTCACTACGAAATGATCATAAAAAGAGATTATTCAAACGGATATAGTCGCGCACCCGTCCATTTTGATAACAAACAGCTTCACTCTGATCGTTTAATGACTATCAATCACCAAGATGTCATTATCACTAATCACCCTCCGCAACGAAACGTCAATGGGAATCTATGGTTTTACTGATAGCAAAACAGAAAACCAACAAAATAATCATTTAATGATTTTAAGTTCAAAGTTTTATTTTTCATGGAAAAAAATTAAATAAAATGACACAGACTACGAATAAAAAAAACAGAATTGAGAAAATAATTACAAAATTATTTTTAAAAAAGGGAAGATGAAGATCGTTTTGAGTTAACTGATTGAGAAGAAAGTTGTTTGAAAAAGTTCACACTAACCCTATTTGAAGCGAATTCAGACAAAAATCTGTACCATCGTGGTGTGAAAATGTTCGTTTAGGAGAAATCGAAACTACTATTGCACATAAAAAGAAGAACGAATAGTTTTGGTCGGGTTTTAAGAAAATGCAAAATGTGCGAGAAAAAAAGAAAAATGGTAGAGAAAAGACCGGGAAGTAGTTTAATCGTTACAATAGTTCATAAGTGAAGATAAGAGTATATAAGTAAAAGGTTCAAAAACTCGTGTCATCAAAGGAGCGGCGTATATTAAAAGAAAACGAAAGAGGTAAGATGATTATCGGTAAAATATTAGAACCTAACAAAAAACATAAGAAACGGGAGAAAATGAGAAAATTCATAGTCTATTCTTTGAGAAGAGCATCTGGACTTTCTCGTTGTCCCGGCCGGTAAGCTTGTTTTTTGTCTGAAAATTCAAATTATTGAGAAACATAATGATGGGAAACTGTTTCTGTCCCATTTTTTGTCTTGGTGCTCAAAACTTCATTATGGAATTATTGAAAAACTCATGGTTTCCTTTTTGCGCTTTGGACGAACATTTGAAAAGGTTCAGTTACTTCGACAGAACTACTTATCTAATATAGCAAACTAATTTCTATATTTCCTGGTAGCCATAAACCATAAAAAGTTTTTTACAGATTCCAATGATCATATAGCAGCCAAAAAACTACAGGTTATATTACGGTTTTGTTACCGTCTATCTCAGTTTCAACATCTATCTTAAAAATTGAGAAAAAAAACTCACTGTTTCTTGCTTTGAAAATGATGATAACTGTAATCAGAATAACGAGTACTCCCATAACAACTCCAAGAATAATGAAGATTCCTTGGAAGCCGAACAGTCGAGAAGTTCCTTCTGATGGAACAGGTGGACGGGAGTCTGATGAAGTGGTCACTTCAATCACATTTCTTGGAGAGGTCACAACTCGATCCGGTGAAGTGAATGTGACAATCTGTTTTGAAAAAAATGATTACATATATTATCACTGTGACTCTTTACCTTGGTTGTAGTGGTTTCCATTCTAGTACTTGAAGGAAACTTCTGTCGCAATTGAGGAGTTGTGGCATAGTATGTGTCGGGAGGTAGAGATGATCCCTGCAATTAGAAGCTGCTCAGTTTTCAAACCTTTCATACTCAAAAAAGGGATATCTAAAACAACACATGTACATACATATGGTGTTCCTTTATTTGATTAGCCCTTTCTTCCTCTTAGGCTTGTACTCAAGTAGTAAGACCATTTCCCGCTCGGGGTCTTGACCTAAAGAGCAGAAGGAGTGCCGCAGTCGCCTGTACGTGAAACCTAAACCTCTTGTTGGACACACTTTGTCGAGGAGTCAAGACAGGCAGCAGCAGCACTGATTCAAGGTGGAAGTCAAATAAAACGAGAAAGAGCGTGTGAGCCGCTTTTGTCTCCGCCGCACAATCTTACAGCTTGTTGAGCCGCAGCTCTGAACGTCTGTTTTGAACGTTATTTGACTTTCTCAAGCACGAAACAAGGAGTTACCTATTCATTTTCCCATGTGACGCTAACTATTTGCCCGTTCTTCTTCCGTTGGAATTTGGAAATCTAAACAATAACCGTGTGGACGCGCTCTAATCCACCTCCTCACTGTCACCTCATCAAGAATCTAATGTCGTGTGCGTAATTGTCAGTAAAATTGATGCACAGGTGTGAGATGATGAGGATGGTCCCTTTTATTTCTCAATACCTACGGTGCTACGGTAATTCCTAATTCAATTGTGTACTTATTGCGCATGTGTATTGTATGGGTTGCATCACCAGGTCCCTATTCGGGTCGGAACAATATGCGGACCAAAAATGTGTGCTTTGTATTCTTCTTTCTCTAACTGGTAACATTTGATAAAAAGGTCAACTCTCTATAGCCTATAGAAGGTGTGATAAGAGTTACCCACCTCCATATCACTGTCTTCGTCGTCAGTGAGACCATTTGCACTTCCTTCTCCAACATGCACACGTTCTTCTTCATCAATCGATTGCGCCGAAATCGCGAAAACCGAAATCAGAAGAAGAAAACACGTTTTCCTCAACAACATACTGCAAGAATTGGTAATTGGAATAGTAAAATTGGGATCCGGAGGTCATTGATCCTATAAGTTATATAACAAAACGACCACGGGACATTTGTTGCCACACGGAGTCGGAAAAAGATAAAAGAGCTGGGAGGAGAAGGATGAAAAATTGAGTACACCTGGATTGGTCTGTGACAATCACAATAAAAGAAACATGGGGAAGAAGATAGAGAATTAGAAATCACAAGTGACAATTGGAAAACACGTGGATAAAAATGATAAATAAATAGATTGACAAGTGTGAGAATGAATTGAGGTGAGAATCCGTCCCGAGAATAAATTATATCTCGATGAGATGAATGAGGTGTATAAGGAAAGGTGTCGAGAGAAGAACGAGGAAGAATAAAGTGAGCAGCAGACTGTATGTGTATAATTAGGTCGTGGGCGGGTAGTGTGCGCATCGGTTGAGGAGACAGAGGGAAGGCTTGCTCATGCACCGGGGAAAGCAGGTGGCAAGACAAAAACCTGGCGTTTAAGGTTGATCTTGTTAGTAGATTTGGTTAGACAAAATAAGCAAATTGATGGTTGGAAGGGGTGGACAGCAGTGGCTTTTATCTGAAGTAATCCTACAATCCGGATGTTGTGAATCATATTCTTCATATGAAAAAACGAAGCACGAGACATGGTTTTTGTCGTGTTCTATCACGCAGAAAAAAGATATCAAAACAGTTTTTTTTCGGTAGCGGAAGGTTAAGGTACGGGAGTGAGTAATCATCTCTAATTTCTTATGTCAACATTATTTCAACAGATTAGTGTCTTCTGTTTTTTGTCGGGTCTGGTAGAAGTTATGAAACAGAGAACACATTACATGTGATTTCTTCATATCAAATTATCATGTAGTTTGAGAAAAAGTTATGAGGAAATTGAGAAAATTTCAGAATTTTCTGAAAAGTTGCAGAAGGAAGAAACATTTAAAAAAATAGCAAAAACCCTTCACAGTTCTGAATCCTGTGTCAGTATTATGGAAGTAAACATATCAATAATATGACTGTTTTGTCTTTATTTCCTTTTCTTCTGGGGTATGATAACGAGTATGTATGAATCAGAATATGATGCGTACCCGGTGTACAGAGGGCGCAAATATCTTTTATCTTTTCTTTCTGTTTCGAGGCAAGACCTTGGGAGGACTGTAGGCCTGTGACGTTTAGACACTGACTGCCAGTGATCAGCGACTGCGCATGAGCGCAATGCGCTGAATCGAACACATTAATCTTGGCCGTAATTTTCTCACCAGTTTTAATAATTACTACTTTACAGTATAAATTGACGACCTGTCTGTGGTTAGTTCGGTCTTCGTTCTGTCTTGACACGACTGGTAGAACTGGAAGAATTGTACCTACACCACAATTACTAATAATTTCTTTTTCAATACAAATAAGAAGGGCCTCGTGTAAATTTTGTCGCTCTAAAAAACTAAATGTTTCAAAAAAAATTTGTCTATGAGAGTTAAAAATCTAACCCTAACCATAAAGATCACTTTCTAATCGAAAATCCTTGACAACTCTGAGAAAGTGACCGTTTGAAATAAAATGATGTGTTTTCTCAATTCAAATGCAAATCTAAGTGTGAAAGAAGGACCGTAAAAGGGCGAGATTTCCTTCTTGATGAACAAATGAGAGACCTTTGTCATTTTTCGACTTGTAGGTCTGTGTGGCATGAGAAAGATAAGAAGAAAGGCAAAAAATGAAGAGGAAGAAAACATATGATATTGTTGAATTTGTTGTATTCCTTGACTGTTTGAGAATGTAATCCATCAATATCTGTCAGCATTTCTTGCATTGAAACTTGATGAATTGACTAGAATGTTTGAAAAAAATTCGAAAAATTGTAATTCTGAATTGACTTCTATAAAAAACTTATCGAACTTCAAAATATTCGGTCTGACCAAAAATTGTGACATAATTCAATTGAAAATAGTAGTAATTAGTGAAATCAAGGAGAAGTGTCAAACTGACAGTTGAATTCTCATATTTTCAAATCTCAAGCTGTTTTCATCCACATTGAAAGTGAGTAATTAGGTAGCTACTAACCAGCTTCAAAACATTGAAGGTCGGCTTAACTGGTCGTCTTTCGATCGGATTTAGAAGAAAAGCTAGCACCTCCTTACTCAATTTAGGAATACATGTCCAAGGTCAAAAGACTTGCCGACAGTACACATGAAAAAGTAATTGAGAAAAGGGAACGGTGTATGTTACAAAACTCAACAGAGCGTAGAAAGATTGAAACCGGGTAACAAGCAGCAACTTATGCGTGAACAATTACATGTTCTATTTTGAAAAGAATAAAGACAATAATAAAAAGCGGATGTGGAGAAACAGAGAGGTAAATCAGATTTTTCCGGAGAAGGGGGGAAGACATCCCGTTTTTGGGAAGCGATGAAAGAACAAGATATCCATTGTCGGTACCCTTTTGACATGTCTCAGGACACACGCATGTTTTGCGATTAGAATGATTCATGATCTACATAAACTGAACGGTGGGCCATGTCCTTGTCTAGTGTTT